CAAGGAAGTAAGAAAATAAGGGAATTTTAATTGAAAACTTAAGAGTGAGTCTGGGGACAGGTAGAAACTAAGATCCTACCTAGTCTCTTTCCAAGGTGTGGTTCTCTGAGTTGGAGCTTTGTAAAAATGGTCTTTTGTCTTTATGTGTAGAAGACCCATTATAAATGCAATTAATAAATGTCACATATTGCTTCTGATTGAGAATGTCATCTTTCTGGGGCCTGAACCTATGGATTTAGCCATAAATGTTGTTGTGTCTTGTGCTTAGATGTTCCCCATCATTAAACAGTATGGAGACGTGTTGGTCAAAAACCTGAAATGCCAAGCAGAGAAAGGCAAGCCTGTTGACTTGAAAGAGTAAGTATTAGTGCACCTGCTTGACATCTGAGCTACCCTGAGACCATGTAGCTGCCTGCCAGGAAGCTGAAATTCTCACTGCTGAGTTACTCCAGGGCCAGGTGTTAGATCCAGGTGTTACTGCAGGTTGTGGTGTTAGAGCTTCAATGGGCCATCCAAGAAGGGACAGATCCCAGGAGAGGGCAGAGCATTTGGGAGAGGATGGGTTTTCTCCACCGAGTACAGGACTCAAGATTAGTTGAACTACTTATTTGTCATTTTGGCTTTGCTAGGAAATAAAATATATACTTTAGAAGGAAGCAGAATAATCTTAAAAATGTGAGTGTAAATGCTGGGAAATAGCAGGGAAGTGTTTACTTGGTACTTAGTGAAAGTCAGTGGATGGGGCAGGAATTACCATGTGAAATTTGGAACAACTTAAACCTCTCCATGGTTTTATAGAGATTCAGCAAAATTTTAAATATTAAACCTTCACACCATTTCTCCTTTCTTTTATGAGGAGGGGAGGGGTTCCAAAGGGTATGGTAAGGGCCAGTGTTGTAGTCCAGCAGCACCATGTCTGCCTGGAAATTGCAAGGTCCAGAGTTTGATTCCTGGTACTGGAACAAATCATATTGATTGTGTAAGTGGGACATTTTGAAATACACAGATATCCCAGAAAGCATACTGTTATAACTGGGGACATCATGTCACTTGCCTCTGAGATCTTCCAAACCAATTTTCTACAGAAGTATCATAACAATTGTTATTATCATTATGTTTTTTTTAAACAATCACATAGGGAAGCATTTATTTGGGGTTTAACATGAAGTCATACAAATAAAATGTGTATAAACACAAATCCACACTGAGGCATAACACATAGAAAGGACAAAGTAAAAACAAAGAAAACTAATTGGCAGCTATGTACAGTTGGACACAGTTGTGGCTTGTACACTAGAAAGTCTTTTACAAAATAATCATTAGAGAAAGACAAGGTCTTGCTAAGTAGTCCAAGCTAGGCTTGTATTCATTGTGTAGTCTAGGCTAGCTTTATATGCACAAGTCTTCTGCCTCAGCCTCCCACGTACTAGGATGATGAGCACTTGTCATGACAAGCTCAATATAAGTATTATTCACTATGAGAGACCCCTGATGAAATTCTAATCTCTTGCTCTGTGCTATGACACATGGCAAGAAGAAAGACTTAGAGACAGAGTTAAAGAAAGAGAGATGGGCACCTGGGATATCCGGTGCTGAGCAAGCGAAGACCCTGAACATCCAGAGCTGTCTATATTTATTGGTGACACAATCATTGTTAGGTTGGGGTGAGAAGGCTATGTGTGGTTGCTAGGATATGTTGGTGATGCAGGCAAGGCTCGTAAAAGAAGAGACAAAGCGTTCTTGAGTTAAAGGCTTGGAAAGGAATTTCAGTAAGAGTCACTGTGACCTTCGCTGTATCTTATCTCATATGCTTTGGCCAGACTCACTTCTTAAGACAATTGTGTGGTTGACTCTTTACCAACTGACTGCACTGCTTACAGTCTGATTTGGGTATAGTCAGTTGGATGCTGTCCCACAATTAACAAGTATAATTCTTGTTTTTTTACATTATACCAAAATGTTTCTGCCCTCGGGGCCCCTCAGATCCCTGTAGTTGGGAGGAGCAGATATATCAGGATCTTGAACAGGGGATGTAGAGAAGGAGGGATGATGTTCCTAGCTGCTCAGAACAGCTGTTGTGTGATGTGAAGAGAAATCAGCTCAGGGCACACTCTGTGATGAGACAAGATCTAGATCAGTGTCACCTTTTGAGTCCCCTAGGAAGTGTCTTATTCCCCCCTTGTCCTGTTAAACATGGTGCTTACACCTCTGGTACCTTCTACACTCCATACACAGTGCTATAGTGTGTCTGTTTGTGGGTCTCTATCTCTGTGACGGAACACCACAAGTTCAGAGTCTAAGTCTCCTAGTGTCCCCATCACCCCAAGCACAAGGGCAGTTCTATCATTGGCCCCTTATAAATACCCACAAGTGAGCATGAGGGGAGCATAGAGTGTTCAGCTGGCCTAGCAGATAGTTCTTCTGACAGTGTGTGGGTCTCTGCTTGTCTTGCTGGTGTATCATTTATCCCACTGCTTGAAGAATTTGTAGTAGAACAGGTACAGACTTTCATGTTCTCTGTCTTTCTCCACTCAGAGTCTTTGGGGCCTACAGCATGGATGTGATCACTGCAACGTCATTTGGGGTGAATGTTGATTCCCTCAACAATCCAGAGGATCCCTTTGTGGAAAAAGCCAGGAAGCTCTTAAAATTTGATTTTTTTGATCCACTGCTTCTCTCAGTCGGTATGAAGACTATTATATTCCTTGCTCTCCCACTTCCTGCCTGCCTCTTTTTATTGTAGTAGTTTATTGAGATGTAACTCACATATCATACAATTCACTTGTTAAAAATGAACAATTCAATGAATTTTTAGTACACTCAATGAAATATGCATCCATCAACATTGTCAATTGTAGAATATTTTCATCTCCTGAGAAATATTGTGCCTTTTCACTTTCAACTCCCAGGCCCTTTGCCCTAAGCGGTCACTGATTTTCTTTGTTTCTTCACATTTGGCTTTTCTAGGCATTTCCTATAAATAGAACCATAGAATATGGGACTTTTGTGACTGTATGTTTTTATTTAGCACTACATTTTCAAGTTAAATATGTACTAAAAACTTCATTTTTGGACAAATAATATTTCATTGTATGTACATAATACATTTTGTTTATCCATTCATCATCTGTTGATGAACATTTGAGATATTTTTGCATTTTGGCTATTGTAAATAGTGTGCTATCAACAATTGGTTATAAGATTGTGTATAAGTGCCTGTTTTCAGGTTAATATTCAGTAGTGACACAGCTGAGTTACAATGTAATTCTGTTTATCTTAGTAAGAAACTGACACATTAACCCATCCCATCCAATATTTGGTTTTCTCATGATTCTAATGACAGTCATCCTAGTGGGCCTGAAATGGTATAACACTGTGGTTTTGATTTTCATTTCCCTGGTGCTAATGATTCTGTGCAATATCTTCTTAAGATAAACGTGTTTAAGTACTTTGATCAAGTACAGCTGAAGTATTTGTTTTTGTCATTTGTAAGATATATTATTTTTGTTATGTTGTAAAATATTTTTATATCTCTAGGGACAATTCCCATACCAGATACGTGACTTGCAACTTTTTTCACCTATTTTGTAGGAGTCTTTTCACTTTTCTGGTAGAGTCTATTGAAGTTAAAATTTTCAATTCTGATGATGTACGATGCATACATATTTTTTTTTGGTACCAGGGATCGAACTCGGGTCTTTCAGCTTGCACTGCAGGGGATGAAACCTCTGAGGTACATCCCCAGCCAATGCATGCATTTTTCATTTTTACTTGCGCCTTTGTTCATCTGTAGGAAGCCACTGCGCATCTGGGATCATGAAAATTTGCTCCCTTGCCTTTCTTCAAAGTCTTGCTTAATTTTTGTCCTTATTATTTAGATTTTTGATTTATTTTGACTTAGGATTTGTATTTAATGATCCCTCCTTACTCTTTTACATGTGACCATCCAGTTCTCCCAGTATCATTTTTTGAAAAGACTATTTTTACCCATTCAGTTGTCCTGTCTTCTTTCTCAGAATTCAGTGAAGTATGGATGCATGGAGTTTTCAAAAATAATTATTTTTATTTGTACGTATTTGTAGTACATGATGTTTACATTTCTTCTGTGGAGTTGTGTACGTACATAAAACATCTCAATTCTTTTTTCCATCTCCTTTACATTCCCTCTTGCCCATCCCACCTTCTCTTGATCCCCTAGGTATTTGAGAAACATCTGTCTCCCTACTTTTTATTATCCCTGTTTAATTTTACTTTTTATGTTTGCTATGGATTGCTCATATACAGGAAACCATATGATATTTAAGCTGGTGTTTCTGGTTTATTTAATTTAACATTATGATCTCAAAATGCACCCATTTTTCCTACAAACAACTTGTTTATCTTTCTTTATGGCAGAGTAGTACTCCATTTTGTGTAAATACCATGTATTCTCTATCCATTCATTTGTTGATGAACATAGAGGCTGGTTCTAAGATCTAGTTTTTATGAATTCTGCTGCTATAAACATGGCTATGCATATATCATTGTAACATGATGTCTTTACCTGTCTCAGAAGATACTTAAAATTTTAAATGTCAGTAGCAATTCCCCTCTTTCATTATTGGTACTAGTAACTTAAGTCATCTCTTTTTCTTGGTGAGTCTACATAGAGATTTGCCAAGTTTGATGATATTTTGCAAGAACCAGCTTCTTGTTTTATGAATTTCTGTATTTTTATATTTTATTAGTTTCTAGTTTGTCTTTATTACTTTCATCCTTCTGCTTATTTTAGGTTCCATTTTCTCTTTTTATTTTTAGTGACTTATGGGGTAAAGTTTGATTATTCATTTGAGATTTTAAAAATTCATTGCTGTGAAGTTTCCTCTGATTACTGCTTTCACACACTCTCACAAATTTGGTATGTTTTGCCTTCATTTTTAATCCTCTCAAGAGAATTGCTAATTGCTCGTTGAGTTCTTTTGTGTCCCTTTGTTTATTTCAGAGTGTACAAGTTAATTTGTATAAATTCATGAATTTTGTTCTTTTGTTTTCTTGATTTCTGGCTTTATTCCACGGTGAATTAGTTTCATCCTGGTTGCTCTTTCTTGGACTCCATGATTAATGAAAGCAGCAGACTACAGTCTGGTTTACCCAAAGAAACTCTACTCAAATAGTTAAGACAGTAGGAAGTTAGGGAATTTAATCCTTCTCCTTTGGTCACTCCAAAGTGAAGAAGGGGCCACTGACTTGACCACTGTGTTGGTGGCCTTCTGTTTGACAAGGCCCTGCTCAGTCCTTGCTGACATCCTGGAGCCTGTGTCGGAGAGGAAATGGCTCCTGGTTGAGACTGGTGACTTTTACTGTTTTGATTGTTTCAGGAAAGTATAATTGAAAGAAGTAAATTTTGCATTTTCATTAAAGATTGTATTTTCTTTTCTGTGTAGTACTCTTTCCATTCCTCACTCCGGTATATGAGATGTTAAATATCTCTATGTTTCCACGGGATTCTTTGAAATTTTTCACAAAATTTGTAAAACAGATGAAAGAAAATCGCCTGGCACCTAACCAGAAGGTAAAATGTGCTGATGATGGTGATGATGACATGAGGATGTTAACATTTTAATAGTGTTCCTATCTGTATACAGATGATTTGTGCCCTTTTCTCTTTTATAGAGAATCTATTTTTAGAGAAGGAGAGTGTTTACATTTTCCTGCAACTAAGAAAGTGGAAGTGGGGAAGTAGGCATGAGAATGAGTCAGAGAGAAAAAGTTTAACATTGAAAAATAGGAGTAAAATTTTGTGTGTCATGGCGGACATAGTATTAAGATACCTTTACCATATTCTCCTTCTCTCTAAAATTATGAAAGGAAAATATTACTATTTAAAAGTATAGTTTCTGATAGTCTAAATTCCTCAGTCTTTTATTGGTAAGGATTTATTTCAATTTGAAACATCTTATTGTCCAATGGAAGCCCCTATCAGGGAACCTGGTGGAATTTGGTTTGTGTTAAATTTGATTTTCTCTCTTGGTCTCTAACGTAGAGGAGTGTATTCTAGGAATAGATCTTTTATGCTAAGTAACCCACCTTTGTTTCAGGTGGCGTGAAGGCAAGCTGCAGTATGTCAGCAGGAGAAGGAGAAAGGATGAATACTCTGAATGTTACTGAGGATTTTTAAGTGTTCTGGGAGTGTAGAATATTTGAAGATGATCACAGAGCTCATAATGAGCTCTGGAAATGACAGCCAATTAATCTACAGACCATTGTGTTAGGAATTAAGGGAGGAGGACAGAAAGTACTGGAGTTCAGGACTTCTTCCTGAACAAGGAGGTGTGATAGGGAAAGAAGTAAGTCACTGTCTGGCCAGGAGTCTGTGTTCAGAAACCAGAAAAAGTGAGAATGTGGGAGGACAAAGACCTCTGCACTCCTGATTTACTTGAGACCTCACAATTGACCTTCTGTCCTTGAAATTTCTCTTTCTTCCAGCACCGAGTGGATTTTCTTCAGCTGATGATGAACTCCCAGAATTCTAAAGACACCGAGTCCCACAAAGGTAAGCAAGGATGCTCTATGGGGTACTGATGCCAAAGCTTAGAGGCAAGAGGCTGTTCTGGAAGAGTGAGTACAAGAGGATTTCCAGGTGGAGGAGCATTTCTGCCCAATTTCAGAAGGATACAAGTTCAGATATTAAATATGGTAGCCAGAGGCACTCTCCGGAATCATACAGGCTTAAGTATGTTCAAAGATAGAAGTATTACCATACCCAAGCATTTCAAGGCTGGAAGTCATTAAGATCACCTACATAAAAAAAAAAAAGATCACCTGTGTCATAACCAATACTGATGATTTTTGGCCCCATCCATATCCAGGGAGTCAGAAAATCTGCCCAGAAATTTCCATCCAGGTATAGTTCCCCAACTATATTGGGGATATTCACTGGGAATAATTTGTGAAAGTAAATGCACTAGGTTAATCAAGTGTGAAGACTTATTTTCCCTTTCACAATGAATAAGCTTGGCAGGGAATCATTTTTGACAGTTTAAACATTTTTTTCTTCTTCATATATTCATCCACTGGTTTTATTGTCCATGGATTGAAAGAAAAATTTAAGTTTTATTGAGGTAAAATTCCCATACCAGACAATTCACCCATTTAATGTATGGGATTAAACAATATTTTTATATTCAGAGTTGTAAAACTATAAGCACAATTAATTTTAGATCTTTTTTATCATCTCAAAAATCCAAAAATGTGCAACCACATATACATTTAAGTATCCTTCCTCATGACATCTTTCACCCTCATCTGAATCTACTATTTCCTTTAAAAATTTTTATTGGTGTATGTGTGTGATACACAATAATTACATTCTTTTGGTGGATTGGCAGGTATATGTTGCATTTTGATCATTGTCATTTCTTTTTTTATTTTATTGGTACATTTTAGGTATACAATATAATGACATTCATCATTGGAAATTTGCACCTTTAT